ACAGCACCAGAGAGGCCGAGGTGTTTCAGGCGGGATAAAAGAATGGTGTGGTCTACTGTATCAAAGGCAGCGCTTAGATCCAGTAGAACCAACACGGTCACCTTTTTAGAATCATAATTTAGTCTAAAATCATTTAAAATCTTTAAAAGAGCAGTCTCTGTGCTGTGGTTCACCCTAAATCCTGATTAAAATTTCTCTAAAATTTGCTGCTGATCTAAAAAGGCATTGAGCTGGGTAAAAACAAGTTTTTCTAAAATTTTGCTTAAAAATGGTAAGTTGGATACCGGTCTGTAGTTGTTAAAATCATTAAAATCCAAATTGCTCTTCTTCAGAAGGGGCCTCACCACAGCCGCTTTGAAGGCTGCAGGAAAGACCCCAGTCTGAAGAGAGCAATTCATCAGGTTTAAAAGCTCCTCTCTAAAAGATTCATAAAATGACTTAAAAAATGGAGTGGGGACTGGATCTAAAAGACATGTGGTGGGCCTCACTGAGGAGAAAACTTTATCAAGCATCTCAGCATCAACCAGGACAAAACTGTCCAGTGTTTCCTCTGGTGAAGACAAACAATCAGATGTGTTAAAAACAGTTGTGCGGTTGGATAAAATGTTACATCTGATTGTATTTATCTTCCCCATGAAGTGGACTGCAAAATCCTCACAGAGGGAGTCTGTGGGGGTTAAAAGAGACATGCTAAAATCAGGGTTTAAAATGGTGTCGATGGTTGAAAAGAGGATTTTTGGATTATTTTTGTTCTGGCTGATTAGTTTTGCAAAGTAATTGTTCCTGTTTTTCCTGATTGTGTTGTTGTAAATTTGCTGTCGGTTTTTATATATTTCGTGATTGATTGTCGTTTTATTTTTTCTCCATCTTCGCTCTGCCACCCTGCACTGTCTTTTCATACTCCTTGCTTCCTCATTTTTCCAAGGGGCTATAGATTTTTGTTGAATGCTTACAATTTTTAATGGAGCAACCTGATCCAGTGTAGTTCTTAGTCTACTGTTAAAATCATCTGCTATAAAATCACAGGGGGCAGGTAAAACCAACTGAGGAGTGTTATTTAGAATGTCCATAAAATTTGCAGCCACTTCAGGGGTTAGACGTCGTTTCTTCACAGTTCTCACAGAGGTCTCCTGTTTAACAAAACCAGTGATTTTAAAAAACAGACAATAGTGGTCAGAGATAGCCAGGTCAACAACAGAGGACACACCCGCACTCAGGCCATAAGTAATGACCAGGTCGAGGGTGTGCCCTCTGTTGTGCGTCGGCTGTGTGACATGTTGAGTAAAATCCATGTAATTTAAAATACTTACAAACTCGCAGGTAAAATGGTCTGATGGGTTGTCAAAGTGGATGTTAAAATCACCGGTTAAAACAATCCTATTATAGGAATTGTATAAAAAAGATAAAAACTCTGAAAATTCATTGATAAAACGGCTGCACTTTTTTGGTGGCCGATAGATGGTTACTGCTAAAATTTCGGGGCTGCTAAAAACAAGGGCATGATACTCAAAACTTGAGTATTGGTTAAAATTAATGGTTTTGGTGGCCAGGGTGTTTTTCCAAATTGAGGCTGTGCCACCACCTCTTCTTCCTTCTCTTGTTTTAAAAGCAAAGCTAAAATCGGGAGGGGAGGCCTCTGTGAGAACAGCCGGAGCATCCGGACCCAGCCAGGTCTCAGTTAAAAACATAGCATCCAGTTTGTGTTGTAAAATCAAATCATTAATGATAAAAGTTCTATTTAAAAGAGAGCGTACATTTAAAAGAGCAAACCTGATGGTGGATGGAGAGTCATTTTTGTTTGTAGTGAGGGGAGAAGATGATGTGGAGGAGCAAAGGGCAACAGGGATGAGGGTGTTGAGGGACGGTTTCCGGAGTATGGACGGTCTGTAGGGGCGGGGTCTGGACAGAACTGAAATTCCTTGTTGGGGGGGGGAGCAGGGACTGATGTTGGAGTCCAGCGGGGCAGGAATGATGTGGGATGGAGTGATGGGTTGTCAGAGGTGCGGGGGACGGGATTGAACTGAGTGGGTGATGTTTGAAATCAGGTACCGGGTGCCGAGTTTATTGATATGGAGTCCATCGGGTGTGAAGAAGGGGTGGCGGTTCCAGAACAAATTAAAATTGTCAATAAAACCAAAGTTGTGCTGCTGTGATGATTTTTGAAGCCAAGTGGTGAGTGATAGTATCCTGCTAAAACGTTCCACGCCCCGGTTCAACGTGGGCAGAGGGCCAGAGATAAAAACACTTTTTCCGGTTTTTGATAAAAGGTTAAAAAGGTCCTTAAAATGGAGTTTGGTGATTTCAGATTGGCGGAGTGCAGCATCATTTGTACCAACATGAATTATGATCCGGGTTATTGTGGGGGGTGCTGTCTGTAGAAGTGCGGGTAGTTTAGTGAGGATGGTAGGGACAGTGGCTCCGGGAAAGCAGTGCGTGATGCATTGAAGAACTTACAGTGTTTGATGATAGAGTCCCCCACCAGGAGTGTAGTTGGTGCGAATAGAGGTCGTGGAGGGGAGGGAGTGACTGGAGTAGGACCCGGGGGAGAGCAGGGGACAGGAGAGCGTTGGGATGCGCCCGGAGCAGAGCTGCTGCGAGCCCCGTGAGCTGCAGTGGAGCAGGAGGAGGGAGCCGGAGACCGAACCGGCGCCCCTGCAGCGGGGTTGGTGGTGGTGGTAGTGCGGGCGGTTGTGGGAGGGCCATGCCCCGGGCGGAGAGATCCTCCAGCAGGCGAGACAGCCTCCGCGGGGGAGCTCCGCGCTGAGATAAAGCGCAGAGACCCCCCCGCGGGCGAGGCAGCAACTACGGGAGGACTCTGCGCTGCGGCACGGCGCAGGGACCCCCCCGCGAGCGATGCAGCGTCTACGGGAGGACTCCACGCCGTGTCAGGGCGCAGAGGTCCCCCCGCGGCCACCTCAGCGTAGGACCTGCTTTGTGTCTCGCCTCTGGGGATTCCCTCCGCGTCAGAGCGCACGGACCCTCCCACAGCAGGGACAGCGCTCCCGGGGGTATCCGGTGCCACGTCGGGGCACAGAGATCCCCCCGGGGCTTCCCGCAGTTGGTCCTGCATGACACCCGGAGAGCCCCGCGCTGTTTTAGAGCGTGGGAAGCTCCCCGAGCGTCTGCGCACAGCCTCCTCCACCAACCTGCGGCGCGAGGACGCCGTGGATGTCGTGTGGCCTCCAGGCCTCTGCTCCACGCCGCTCTGGGTATGGGCAGCAGGCTCCGGGACTGAGGAGGAGGGAAGAGCACCAAGAGGGACAGCTGCAACCGGGGCGCGTGAGGTAAGCACCGGGGTAGAGCATGATGAGGGGTGAGGACAGGCGATTGGATCCCAGAGTGCAGTGTCGTGGAGCTGTGATTGTCTGAGTACGGAGAGGGATATTTGCTGTGACTGTTTGAATGATATGTCCATGAAATGTTCCAGAAGTTTCTCTTTATGTATGAGTTCGGTGGATAGTTCTTTGACAGTGCGCTGAAGTTCCTCGGGGGTCATGGTGTTTACAGGTTTGGATGGGAGGATTGAAGCCAGTTGTGATTTGTATATCTGTTTGTATGAGTTCGCGGGGGGAGCATCGGTGTCCATGGTGATGTGTGTGGGCAGGCTGGTTACCGGTAAAAGGCTGATAAACAGTCCTGTTAAAAGTGACAGTAATCCTTTTTTATGCAGTCTGTTAAAATCCGCTTACTCCGTCGAGTAGGGCAAATAAAACCAGTAAAAGAAACTTAGTTTAAAAATAAATCATAAAAAACGTGCAGCTCAAAAAAGGCTCCAAACAAATGCATGATCCGTGTGGGCCTCAGGATGACGTCTGCTGACAAGCCACGCCTCTTCTGCACATTTTACTTATACAATATGTGATAATGTTTCTAGTCCAGTCTGGATGAGGGTGAGGAAGTGAATTTGTTGGAGCCCCCAGCAATTCACTCTTAATGTAGGCCTTTGCAGGGAAAGGTAATTATAGTCCAGACCACGGTATTAGATTTCTTTGTATTAGGGAATAAACTTTTTTTGATTCAACTTCCTGAATCCTGGTCATCACTATGGGATTTCAACACGTCTTAATTCGATATAAGCAATGGATAAAAGAGCATTCCCTGATTCCCTTAGACCCTCCTTCTTAAGCAAGGACAAACCCCATAAAAGAGAAAGATGGACACCTTGGGTAAGAACCATGCAGAGATCTGCGCTGGCATGGATGGACCAGCTGGAGATGAGACCAGCACTGATTCTCTTGAGCCAGAGTCCAATTAGGCTCATCTGGGACACCGGGGTCGACTGGGAATATGGCCTCAGGTTCTGGGGCGGGGAGTCAGGAGTCTATCTGGTGAATGGTGATGAACAGACGGCTGAAAGTCGCACTGGATAATGATGATGGATACAGAAGGAGAGATATGAGGTGAGGGACCAAGCTGCCAGATACTTTCCTCAGCAATACGTAAATCTGATTCAACACTTCAAGATAAGCCACGGGGGGTGACTTTAACACCGGGGTTATGTGCTCCTGTTTATATCCTTGTTGCAGCATTTTGGCACATGAAACAAGGAAATGTCAGTGTTGCATCACCGGTTACAGAACAGTAGGGATGAGGAGCACACAGCACAAGATAAATGAACAATAACTCTATACTAAAAATAAAATAAAATATCCAACTTCAGCATAATGACATAAGCTGGGTTTATGTGTTCTGAAACAAAGCAGCTCTTGGTCAAATGTGAGACGGATTTTACAATTTGGACTCGTTCAATATAGCTCGAATGATTGCGGTTTTACTAAAAATAATGGAAGTCATCTCCACCATTTTTAGTTGGACTACTCAAGGTGTATTGTATGTATTTATTTGGTTTATTTGAGAAGGGGCAGATACAGAAAACATAGACGTACTGTAGTATGTATCATGGGGCTTATAGTCAAAGCTAATCCGGAGCACTTGCTGCTGGATTTTTACAGTAGAAAAAAAAGTCCATATAAAAGTCTGTATCTCAATTAACATTCGCACTAGCTCCATCCAAAACCTTCGAAGATTTGGGATGATGTGATGTCGCTGGTGTTTAGACAGTGACCGACGCGGCTGTGGTCAGAGGAGGTGAAACTGCGGAGAAACCTACGGTAAACACACAGGTGAGAGGCAAAAGTGTGAGACGAATGTTGTCCCGGGCTAATGGGGGCGACCAACCTCCACAGCCGAGAGCGTGGAGTGTGAGAGGTCCAGAGGGGCTGTTGACATTCAGGCAGGAGCTGGGGCACAAGGCCTTCTCTGTCCGAGGAGGCAGAGGGAAGCAGCAGCTGTCCCACCAGGGAGCACCCCCCCAACCCCCAACCCCCCAAACCCCCCCAGCTGTCAGAGTCACACAGAGACATTCACCCTCCAGAAAGACATTGGCGCAGTGTTCAGGGAGCTCAGTTGGGGGCTGCTCAATGACACTTGTCAAAAACCAGTCAGGTCGAGATGTAAAATAATGTAGATGGGGCAAAAAGACACAGAGGGAAGCAAAGTCAGAGGGATTTTTCATTCCCTCAGCTGGTTCAAGATGCTGTTAGTAGAAGTAGTAGTAGTAGTAGTAGTAGCAGTAGTGGTAGGAGCAGTAGTAGTAGCAGTGGTGGTGTAGTAGTGTAGTAGTAGTAGTAGTATTAGTAGTAGTAGTAGTAGTAGTAGTTTGTGTCTTTAGTCATTATGTAGATTAGAACTTAGGTCACATGTTTTCAAAGATCAAATAAGATAAGATAAGTTAGACTTTATTGATCTCACACTGACATAAGCGTGGCCACCAGTATGTGCCATCGGCCCCTCCGACCACCACCAACCATTCAGACACACACCAGACTCATTCTAGGCAATGGGGGTGAAGTGTCTTGCCTAAGGACACAACGGCAGTTTGGCACTTTACAGCCGCAGCCGCCCCACTGTGGCACCTGGTGTTCCCAGAGGTTACAGTAAGTGTCTTGCCAAGGACACAACGACAGCAGACATCAGTGAGAGTCGGTGGAGAAAGTCTTGTGGTGGGCTTGAACTCACGACCTTCTGGCTAAAAAGGCCAATGGTCTACCAACTGAGCTACTGTCGCCATTATACAGATTCTCATACACCAACAATGACACAAAACTTAAACTATAACAATCAGAGTTTGTTGTTTGTTTGTTTTTATTCAGATCCCCATTAGCTACTGAAATATACAGTAGCTATTCTTCCTGGGGTCTATATATCCATCAATGCCATAAAAATGAATGTACAGTGGACAAAAATGAATGTACAAACAAAAAATATGTGCAACAAAAATATGCATTTAAGGCTTTGTGGAATCTCCTTCTTTTGTTGCAATCACAGCAATATCTGCTTTGCACCAGTCTTTGAATCAAGTGTTCTCTTGCTTTCATTTCATAATTGTTACCTCTTTGCGTCAAACAAAACAACAAGAGTGTTTGTGGTCGTGATGTTATAAAATGTAGAAAGTTTACTGGGGTGTGAATACCTTTTCAGGCCACTGTAAATCTATAGTAATTCAAGTGAAAAGAAAAACATCTACAGTAGAAAGTTTAAACATGTTAAAGAAAAGCCGTCTTCTCATCTGTTTTTGGTTCGGCCAATTTTAACCAACAGTATTTCTATTGGTTCAAAGCCACGATATTGATAAATGATATTTACTTTCTCCAAATGTCCTTTCAGAGAGTGAGAATGACACATTAGGCCTATGTCTCTGTATACAGCTTATTTCTGGTTTCCACCGTCTCTGGGGCAAGAACATAAACAGTCTTTGACATAATGAAGTTAAAGCGAGCTGTCCCAGTGTGCACCTCCATTATGTTAACAAACACAAGTGAGAAATGCAGCTGAAGACGGCCAAACTCAAGACATTTGTTTTGTTTTGTTCTTTTTCCAACAAACCAGACATTGAGGAGATATTATTAAACAACAAGAGACAAATGTAGCTGCCAGGGACAGAAAGATGAACGACCGAGGTCTGGAAATCTACTTAAGAGTCAAGCCTCGGCACATCGTAAAGTCGGGCTTAACAGCTGCTTCAACAGAAGGAAAAAACTTTCTTCTGAGACACTCACAGATGGAAAGAAAATGAAAAATCAAAGTCTCTGTAATAAACATATAGCTCACTGTGCAAAAACAACAAATGCATAACACTGAGGTATATGGGATTTTTAGGAGACGCCCAAGGGTTTGCCGTCCGTCCTGAAGCATTAAACTCTACATTTATCTCATTTTCATTTCTCATTTCTCGCGTTTTATTGCACTTTTATTTTCTGTTAGTAGTTAATTTCATTGTAAGCCCCCAGCTCTCAAAATAGGTCCAGGTTTGCAGCCGATACTGAGCCACTATTACCCCATTAGGAAGTTGCTGATTGTAATTTTGGTTTTTAACTCAATAACTATTTGTCTGAGACTGGTGATTTCTGTCGCAGTTCCCTATATTCGACTGGGGATTACAGGAGAACAAAAATAGCTAGACACAATCCAGTCTTTCAGAATCTGGTTTCATATTTTACATTGTCATAACACATAATATTCTGTGGGTCTTGAGAATCAGTGAAATAATCAAAAACGGCCGGCAGTCAATGAGTTCATTAAACATAAACCCATTCATTCATTCATTCAAATACATTCGTTATACACTCTGATGAGATGGGCTCGATATTAGTTTTCTGTCACAAGAAGAGCTGATGGTAGAGAATCCAATATCGCCTTTGTGCAGTAGTTTGGCTCAGTCTTTGTTGAAAAGTTCACTGCCTCAGACTGTCAGCCCCCATCTGTGCAGAGTCAAGTGGTAAATAATGGACAACGGGGAAGCCTTAAAACTGATGCTTGAGAAATATTATCAATAACTAGAGTCTGTATAGTACTTTTTTCTTATCGAGAAAATCCCTCGGAGTTTCATTGTATTCAAAACCAATTCAGATGGTCATTTACAGTGGATTGCAAAAGTACTGTTACTATTAGTAGTATTACAATTTGAAACTTTGCATTTTGTTGTGTTTACCGCCACAAAGACAGATTTTTTTTTTAAAGACCACAACAAAGTAAAAGTGAACAAAAAATTATGTGATTTTTTTTATTTAAAAAAAAAATGCAACTGAAAAGTGGGTTTCGCTCAAAAGTTCAACAACTGATTATTTTAGACAATTTAATATCATCATTTTATGTATGTATTCTCCATATTTATGTTCAATTTAACATTATTATTTATTGTGGTGCCCTAATCCTTTTGATATATTTATATATATATAAATTTGCCTTTAAGTATATTGTGTTGGTTATGTTTTGTATCTTGCCATGTACAAAATGAAAATAAAAAATAAAATAATTGAGTAAATGCTTTGTGGAATCAACATTAGTTTTGCATGAGTTTTTACATCAAGTACCCTTTTGTTTTGCCTTCATATTTGTTACCAATTTGTTCCGGTCTTTCCGAATGAAAACAACAATAACTTAAGGTGGGGGAAGATAATTTCACTTCATAAACTTTTGCTCAGTCCTGGTTGAAAAGTTCCTCTGACTGCCTCAAACTGCCAGTCCCCGTATCTTTGCACAGTGAAGTGGTAAATAATGGACAATGGGAAGCCTTAAAACTGAAGCCTCGGGCACAATCTGCCAAGAAGAGGAGACCTAAACCTGAGCGCGGCGTGCACAGCAGCTGGACTGGCTTTGTGGTTGAAAGTAAAATGGTCCGAGCTTGTCCAAACGGCGCCCACAAGGAAAGATAAGAACACACAACAACTGTCAGTGTTTCCTCCAAAGTCCAGCGCTGCACTAAATTACTCATGGCAGTGGAAACAAGCTCTCGTTCTCACAGATGGAGTCACCAGGGGAGCAAAAAAACTATTTATTTATTCATTTTAATTGTGGACATGAATATACACAACATATTACAAGTGCATAACTGCAAATATTGTAGTTCTGTCACACAAATGGCAGCAGGAAAAAAATCTCCTGTTGCCGGCCTCTTTCTTTACACTAGAACTCCCGGAGCAGTCAATTTGACGGCTTTTTGTTTTGGATGTGTAATGTCTCAGCTTATTTACGTTTTTGGTCTTCAAAACTTTGTGACTTTTTCTGTTTGTATATGTCGTTTATTTCAATCTAATTATGTTTATGAAATTATCTTGATCCTAGACTGGTTCAGAGGAGTCTCAGCTTGGAGCCAGTGCTGGTTACCATAGTAACGCACTGTTCACATGCAGCAGTTAGCATAGAGTTTAGCTATATTTGTTTATATTGACCAGTTTTAGCATGTATTAAAAATAAAAGATGAATTACTTACTAATAATAAACACAATTCTGGGAGTGACTACAGCACTCATCCTTCAAATAGGTGATTTTTTTAATAACATTATTATACTTTTGCTATTTTCCCCATATTTTTAATCAATAATTTAATATGATTTCATTGATGTTTCTTTGAGTTTCTTTCTTAAACTTGAGGATGTTTGCTGAGATTTTTCTCCCATTGGATTGGATTTAATGTACTTGACATTTGCCTTTTCTCACAATCTGTCGCTTTGTTCATTGTGAGTTTTCACCAACGTGACTAAGATCCAGGCCTAAAACATCCAGGACGAGGAGTGGGAGGATTCTGCAGTTGTTGACAAAGCAGATTGGCTTGAGCTCATCAGTAATGACTGGTGTTTCTTTCTGAAATCTGGGATACAAATGATTATGGATATAGGTTCAGTATATAAATGATTATGGATATAGGTTCAGTATATAAATGATTATAGATATAGGTTCAGTATATAAATGATTATGGATATAGGTTCAGTATATAAATGATTATGGATATAGGTTCAGTATATAAATGATTATAGATATAGGTTCAGTATATAAATGATTATAGATATAGGTTCAGTATATAAATGATTATGGATATAGGTTCAGTATATAAATGATTATGGATATAGGTTCAGTATATAAATGATTATAGATATAGGTTCAGTATATACATGATTATAGATATAGGTTCAGTATATAAATGATTATGGATATAGGTTCAGTATATAAATGATTATGGATATAGGTTCAGTATATAAATGATTATAGATATAGGTTCAGTATATAAATGATTATAGATATAGGTTCAGTATATAAATGATTATGGATATAGGTTCAGTATATAAATGATTATGGATATAGGTTCAGTATATAAATGATTATAGATATAGGTTCAGTATATAAATGATTATGAATATAGGTTCAGTATATACATGATTATGGATATAGGTTCAGTATATAAATGATTATGGATATAGGTTCAGTATATAAATGGGTCACTCAGCGCGGATGTTCAGAATTCTTTGTTCAGTTTTCATGTAGTTCCAGAGCCTAATGGAGGCTTGATTCGGAGGTTCCGCAAAAA